AGCATATCATCGCGCTCGACGCTGAATCTAGGCGCGCGGGACACCTTCCTCAGGCTGCCACTCGGCTCCCTGGGTTGCTGAGCTTTGATGTTAAAGCCGCTTTCCCAAGCATGTCTCAAGTCTTCCTCCGCCGTGCTGTCGAACGCTTCGCCCTCCCTGCGCCCTATTTGTCGTTGCTCGATGGGCTTGCTCATGATACTATTGGGCACGCACGTGTTGGGGAACAGCTGGAGGGTCTCTTCCCGATCACATCGGGCGTCCCCCAAGGGTGTCCTCTGTCAGGAAGTCTGTGGGCGTTGGCGTTCGACCCCTGGATCCGGTGTTTGTGCGAGGCGTTTCCTACGGAGGACGAGGGGACCCTTGGGGGCTGCGCTGATGATGTAGGTGCGGTCGCCATGGATATAAGCAGGACTTCGCACCTTCACCGCACATTCCAAAAGGCTGAGGAGCTCGCTGGTCTCGAATTGCAGCCGCAAAAATGCTGCTTCGTGCCCCTTTGGGCGGACTGCGACGAGACCGTCCGCGAGCAGGCTCGCGCCGCCCTTGCACTGCACGCTCCCGGCTGGGAGAGTTTCAAGATCGAGGGGGCTGCCAAATACCTCGGCGTCATGCTCGGGCCTTCGGCGGACCTTCCGATACAATGGAAGGGCCCTGGACAAAAATGGTGGGGCAGGGTGCGGGAAGTGGCTTTGTCCAGGGCTCCTTCTGAGGCCTCGTTGCGACTTTATCTCACGGTTATCCTCCCCTGTCTCTCCTACGTTGCTCAGTTTTTCCCTCCTGACCCCACGCTTTTGGCGAAGGAGGGACAGGCTCTTCACAAACTACTGCGGTTGCCTCCTAATTCGTTCCGGGTCGCCGAGCTGATGGGCGTCGGGAGGTGGTTGCCCAGCGCTGCTCCTATACCCGTCAGCGTGTCTTGCCTTGCCGCTGAGTGGAGAGCCAGCCAGTACACGTTTCGGGAGTGGAGGGCTTGGCGGGATCGGCTTCGAGATGCGGCTCACAACCACGGATTCCTAGTGGATTTTGTTCGCAATGTATGGTCTCCTAGGTTTTGGGTTCGGCGTCAGAGCATTGCCGAATATTTTGCCTCCTTTGACTGCCCGCCCAACGATGGTAGGGTTCCGAGGCAGGCGTTTGAGCGGGCGAAGGCCGCTGCACTTGCTCTTGAATGTGATAACGTGCCCCGCTCCGGGAAGACAGGGGTTCGTCCTCAGACGGCCTTCTTCCGCTCGTTATGCTCCTCCCTCTACCCCGACGTGATCCCTGATCTTCTGGAGCGGCGTTTTCGCAAGTGGTTCCCCGATCGGCCTCCTTTGGGACGACCAGAGCTCGAAGAACGTTGGGCCAGGCTTCGAGACGTCCTCAAGGCGGCGGCTCCGTCACGGACATGGGCCCATTTAAAAACGCTCGCAGGGGCCTGGATCACGTCAGCCCGCGTGGGGATACTCACGCCTAAGGGTTGCCGGTTCGGGTGCTCCCAGGACTGTCTGGGCATCGAGGTCTGCGCTCCAGATTCGATCGGGCACTATTTATATTGCCCCCGGCTCTCCCACCTTCTCGCTCTCCCTCGTGCCATCATTCCTAATGACCCGGTGGTCCGATTAGGGCTTGGCCCTGCCTCCGCGTACAATGTGGACAGGGAGTACGATCCCATCTCCCTTGAGCGTGCTAACTATTTAACCGCTCTGTCATTCCATATCTACCATAAATACCGTGCTGAGCTTCAGCAACATCCACGTTTACAAGGCACTTACACCTCGACATTGCGTGCGAGGCACGCCGCGATTGTCGCTCTTGGCTGATGCTGACGGACGGTGTCCGCCCAGGCGACGTGCTCTCCTTCTCCTCCTCCTCCCCCCCGCTGCCTCCAAGTCACCCCTTCCCCTCTCGTCCCCTCCTTGTTCTCCTATCCTCCTCCCCAGCGCCGGCGCCACGTCCTCGTCGTCCGCCGGATAGACAAGCGATATCTGCGCCAGGCGGCGCGCCCAGTGTACACTCCAGCGCGCCAGCCCCGCAGCTTGCCCCCGCCCGCCCGCCCTGACGCCGAGTAGACGACACCCGTCCCTTGTCCCAATAGGGTCCCTAGACGCAAAAATGGGCTCATCTCCTGCGTAAAACGTATACCTATACGACCACCCTGCGGGTGATAAGGAGGTGAGGGGGGAGGGGGAGCCAACGTCTCACTCAATCGATCTCGCTATCGATCTCACATTCGATCTCATTATCGATCTCACTATCGATCTCGCTATCGATCTCACTATCGATCTCACAATCGATGTCACAATCGATCTCACATTCGGTCCCACATTCGGTCTCAATGTCGATCTCACAATCGATCTCACAATCGACCTCACAGTCGATCTCGCATTCGGTCTCACTATCGGTCTCACTATCGATCTCACTATCGATCTCACAATCGATCTCACTATCGATCTCACATTCGGTCTCACATTCGGTCTCACTATCGATCTCACAATCGATCTCACAATCGATCTCACAATCGATCGATCTCACATTCGGTCTCACATTCGGTATCACTGTCGATCTCACAATCGATCTCACAATCGATCTCACAGTCGATCTCACATTCGGTCTCGCATTCGGTCTCACTATCGATCTCACTATCGATCTCACAATCGATGTCACTATCGATCTCACATTCGGTTTCACATTCGGTCTCACTATCGATCTCACAATCGATCTCATAATCTATCTCACAGTCGGTCTCACTATCGATCTCACAATCGATCTCACATTCGGTCTCACTATCGATATCACAATCGATCTTACAATCGACGTCATCATCATCATCAACAACACCAACATCATCATCATTATCATCATCATCATCATCATCATCATCATCATCGCCATCATCACCATCATCAGCATCATCATCATCATCATCATCATCATCATCATCATCATCATCATCATCATCATCATCATAATCGTCCACATCATCATCGGGACACCGACGGGACACCGACGGGACACCAGCGGGACACCGGCGGGACACCGCGCGCCACCGGCCGCCTGGAAGGGAAACATTTGGTCCGGCCGCGCCTCAGCCACAGGAGAACCGACGGGACACCAGCGGGACACCGGCGGGACACCGCGCGCCACCGGCCGCCCGGCGGAGAATCATTTGGTCCGGCCGCGCCTGAGCCACAGGAGATTTTCCTCTCGCCCGCCCACGCAGCTTCGCCTCGCCCGCACGGCACGCACGAACACGAAACCGAAATCGATTTCCCGGTAGGGGGGCTCTCCGTTCCACTTCGATCCCACCCCCTCACCTCCGATGTTTTACACATTCCCCGTGTGGGCTTTCCGACGCTCCAAGACGGCCCAAGAGGCCCCGAAGACCGCCCCAAGACACCCCAAAAGAACCCCCCAAGACGGCCCCACGACGGCCTACTATGACCCCAAGACTGCTCAAAACGGCCCCAAGACGGCCCAAGAAGGCTCCCAGACGGCACCAAGAGGAGCCGAAGCGACGTACCTTCGCCGTCACTGCCACCTCCTCCTCTATACGTACATTCGCGACGCGAGTAGCTACTATTCTCTTCTCTCCTCTGCTTCCCCACAGCCCGCATATCTATTGTTTTGCACAGGATTGTCCAGACCTGCTGTCGATGCGTTGTTTCGTTGTTTCGACCTGGATGCTGTCTGCCCTTCCAGACATGGCACTCCCGCTGCAGCGTTGGCCGCGTTCCAGGATCGGCGCCGACGTTTTGCTCTCGTCGTTCAGATCGCTCGCGCCCCGGCGCAGGCTACATTTTCGATCCGATTCGTTCATCGTCGGAGCAGTTCACGACTTCTTCCCAGCTCTGCCTTCCCCTGGTCCCCCTGCTCTTCCAACTCGTCCTGCTCCCGCTGCTGATCCTCCTCCTTCCTCATCGCCCTGCTCATCCTTCTGCTCATCCTTCTGCCTATCTGTGCAGAGCCTCCGTTTCTGACTGCGCATCACACGACTGGGTCACCCTTGGGACCAAAGCCATTCAGGACACCTTCTCAGGCGGCCGGACCACACTTGAGCGAGGTGGGAAGGAATGGGCGGGAGAGGTAGGATGTCAGATCTTGCGCGCGCGCACCTGGTTTGCTCTCTCCTCCTCTCCTCCCTCTCCTCCCTCTCCTCCCTCTTCCCCTGCCTGCCCCGCTTCCTCCTCCCCCCTCCTCGACCTCCTCTTGCTCGGCCGCCAGCCTACGGCAGCATGCTGGCACGGTGTTCTTCTGAAGCAGATCGTTCAGACCAGTTCTTTTTAACGGCTGTCATCGAAGAAAACCGCATAAACATAAACTTTTGGCGCTCCGCGCGGATTTCTTGGATCCCCGCCTGGGCCCCCCGGTGGCGCCTCCAGCGCCGCCCTGGCGCGCTCCGCGCGCCAGGGAGGGGGGTCCAGCGCGAATCCAAGAACTCCGCGCGGAGCGCCAAAAGTTTTTGTTGTTGTTGTTGTTGTTGTTGTTGTTGTTGTTGTTGTTTCTTCTTCTTCTTCTTCTTCTTCTTCTTCTTCTTCTTCTATGTCAGCATTCGTCGTCGCCTTCGCCGTCGTTCCACCCCTCCCAGCAACTTCCGCCTCCTCTCCGGTCACCTCCCAGTCCTCCCCACCACCTTCGCAATACCCTCATACCAACCTGGTTCTCCTGCTCCTCCCACCTCCCTCCCCCCTCCTCCGCCTCCGCCTCCTCCTCCTCAACCTCCTCCTCCTCTTCCTCCTCCTCCCCCTCCTCCCTCTTCTCCTCCTCTCGCTCGTCCTCCTCCTCCTCCTCCTCCTCCTCCTCCCTCCCTCCCTCCCTCCCTCCCTCCCTTCCTCCATCCTCCCCCTCCTCCCGTTACTCTCGTTGTCGTCGTTGTCGTCGTTGTCGTCGTCGTCGTCGTCGTCGTCGTCGTCGTCGTTGTCGTCGTTGTTGTCGTCGTTGTTGTCGTCGTCGTCGTCGTCATCGTCGTCGTCGTCAACGTCGTCGTCGTCCTTGCCTCTGCTCGCCCTCCTCCCGGCCAGGCCTCCATGGCCGTGCTCGACGACGAGACCAAGAGGGAGCTTTACGCGCGCGTGTCCAACCCTGGCGGCGCGGCCGGCGCCCTCGGCGATACGGCGCGCGTCTGTCGCGGCTCGCCGCCGCCGCCGGCGGTGCCCTCGTCGCCGGCGCGGCGCGGCTCGGCACAGCTCGGCGCGGCGTGGCTCGGCGCGGCGCGGCGCGGCGTGGCTCGGCGCGGCGCGGCGCGGCGCGGCTCGGCTCGGCGTCGTGACCGTCGCCGCTGGCGCAGTTGGTCGGTCATCGTGCGTCGGTCGTCGGTCGGCGATCGCGGCGCGCCTCGTGATCGCCGCCGCTGTCATCGGCGTCGTCGTCGGCGTCGTCGGCGTCTTCGTCGCCGTCGGCGTCGTCGTCGTCGCGGCGTCTTCGGCGTCTTCGGCGTCGTCGTCGTCGTCGTCGCAGGCGGCGGCGGCGCCGCCGCCGCCGCCGCCGTTGGCGTTGGGGTTCTTGTGGTGCGAGCTGGCTCCGGTGGGATCGGCGGAGCCGGGCCGTTCGACTGCTGTCTGGCCGTACGGCTTCGGCCTGCGCGTGAGGGGCGCGCAGCTCGGTGGTCTCCAGTTATGGGCTGACAACCAGCACGGGCGGGAGACCTACTCTGTTAGCAGAGTGGGCAACGGGATGCTGCGCAGACTACTGCGTCGCGTGGAGCGAAGGGCGAAGTCAGACGACCGACGGCAGGTTCGTGCCGCGTTGGTGCGTCGGCGATCCCGGCCCTCATATTGCTCAGGGTGGAATTCCCAGGGGCGGTTGTGTGGCCGGATGGGGGTCCCCGCTCGAACGGGCTCTCCTCCCGGCGTCCGACAACTCCCACCCATACCTGTTCAGCCACGCGCAGAGGGGGGTATGGGGGAGGGGGGAAGGCTTCTTAGAAACACCCCTGCTTCTTAGAAGGCGCGGGCCTGATCTGTAGATGTAGGTCCGGCGCCGTCTAAGATTGTGGGAAACGATCGGGGGGATAGGCATAGGGGGATGTATCAATCCCTAATCGCCCATTCGCCGATGGGGGCCCGATAGCCCCACCCCGCCCAGGAACGTGGAGTTTGCAATCAGGGGCCTATCGCCGATCTATTAACGATGTATCGTCGATTCCAGGTCGATGTTCCCCCCCCCCCCCCTATGCCAGTCCCCCCTTCTCGTTGCCCCTCGTGAGAAGCAGCCTCCTTCCAGGAAGCCTTCCCCCCTCCCCCCACCCCCATGTGCGCGCCGCAGACCTGTGGCGCCCTCATGGCCCTGCCGCTCCCCGCTTCTCCGCCCGCTAGGCTTGAGCGCGTGCTGCTCCGTCCGCCTCCAGACGCCTGGGCCGCGTGGGCGCGCTCCAGACATGATGGGCCTGCTTTCCACCACCACCACCATAAGTTGGAGGGGGAAAGGAAGTGAAGGACGAGGAGGAGGAGGACGAAGAGGAGGAGGAGGAGGAGGAGGAGGAGGAGGAGGAGGAGGAGGAGGAGGAGGACGAAGAGGAGGAGGAGGAGGAGGAGGAGGAGGAGAGGAGGAGGAGGAGGAGGAGGAGGAGGAGGAGGACAATGAGGAGGAGGAGAAGGACGAGGAGGGAGGAGGAGGAGGAGGAGGACGAGGAGGAGGAGGAGGAGGACGAGGAGGAGGAGGAGGAGGAGGAGGAGGAGGAGAAGGAGGAGAAGGGTGAGGTGGAGGAGGACGAGGTGGAGGAGGACGAGGAGGAGGAGGAGGAGGAGGAGGAGGAGCCAGGACTGCATCTTTGCCAAGCGCGAGCGCTCCAGCAGCCCACTGCGCTCTTGGTGCGCTCGCCCCGATGGCTTCTCTGTGCACGCCGGGGCTGTCGGGGGAGCCCGTCTGGCACAGAAGCCGAGGCATCAGACCTCTGTGGGGGGGGTCGAGAAGCCAGCGCGGCTTCCTCGGCCAGCGGAGAGTCGGCGGAAGCAAAACAGGGGCGGCTCCGCGGGCGGACGCCGCTGGAGCAGAAGTTTGCGGCCTGATACGTGTATTTTCAAGGGTTCAAAAACGCCCCCTGGTTTACGAGGCGCTGTGCGCTGAACCTCTTGTGGGCTGACAGGATAAACCCCGCGTGTCGCGCGTGTCGCGCGGCTTGTTGGCGGCTCTCTGGCCTCTGGGAGCTCGCAGGGGGCTTACTGACCACGCACTTGTAACCCAGGGTAGGGGCGCTTTTTCGTCCCTCAATCTTTGTTTGTTGGACTCTAGGTTTCTCGAGCCGGACACGCACATGCTAACAGTTTTTTTTCGGTTCGCTCGATCACGGTGTGCTTGGCGTGCGCGAGAAGTCCCCAGGGGCTGGAGAGCCGATCCGAGCGCTGGTTACTTTCACGGGTATCGTGGCGTAGGGTTTTCGGATGCTTCAGTGGTCCACTGGCAAAGGTCGTAGCTGCCTGCTGGCTCAGCTCTTGTCTCCTTGCATGTCTCCCTACAGGCGGATTTTTGGACGACAAATATAAAACAACAAATTCGAGAAATGCTGAAACTAGTCAACAACAA